TTGAAGTCCGGGCCCAATTCAAGGTGTTGGTGATGACCTATAAAGCCCTTAACGGCTTGGGTCCTGGCTACCTGAAGGAGCACTTACATCCATACATGCCCGCCCGCCCCTTGAAATCAGTGGGACAGGCCCTTCTCCGGGAACCCTCCGTGAAGGAAATTAGGAGGGTAAGTACTCGGAGGAGGGCTTTCTCTGCAGTGGCACCCAATCTCCCCACAGAGGTCCGCCTGGCGCCGTCGTTATTTGTTTTTCGGCGCCAGGCGAAGACCTTTTTATTCAAACATTATTTTAATTGTTAATATTATTTATTTATTTTATTCTTTGGCCAGGGCAACTTAATTTATACTGTTAAATTATATTGTTTTATAGGATGTTATTTATTTATGTTTGTGAGCTGCCCCGAGGCTTCGACGAATAGGGCGGCATAGAAGTTCCATAAATAAATAAACAAACAAACAAACAAACAAACCCATTTAGAGCTTTATAGGTGTCACCAAGACCTTAAAATGTCCCTGCACACAAAGCAAAGCTAAGGCAACTCACATAATACCAGAGTTGCACAGTGCTTTCCGGCCACAACTGCTTGCACTGGTTGCTGCATGACACTCAGTTCTACCTCCAGTTTTATCTAATCCAGGTGAGGCACTGGCCATTCTTAACCAGTGCCCAGGCTCAGAAATGGACTGGATGAGGGTTGGTGAGCTGAAGCACATACCAAACAAAACAGAGGTCCCACTAGCAAGCAGAACATTCGCCCAATTGGGAAATGTTCAACTTGTCTTGAATGGGTTCACACTTCCCTTAAAGGACAAGGTTCATAGCTTAGGAGTACTCCTGAACCCCGAGTTATTACTTGTCTCTCAGGTGGATTCAGTATCCGGGAGTACTTTTTATCAGCTCAGGCTGATTTTTCAGCTATATTTGTAACTGGATGACTGCCGCCTTGCTACTGTTACCCATGCACTGGTAACCTTCCCCCTGAATTACTGTAATGTGCTCTACATGGGGCTGCCTTTGAAAATAGTCCAGACATTGCAATTAATTCAGAACAAGACAGACTGGCCTTCGAGACTGGCCTTAAGCCAGTCCTTCACAGGCTGTACTGGCTGTCTGTTGCCACCTGGCCCCAATTCAAAGTGTTGACTTTAACATACAAAGCCTAGAACAGCATGGGGCTGGAACATCTGAGGGAACACTTGTCTCCATATATTCCTCCCAGATCACTGAGATCTTCATTGGAGATCCTTCTGCATGAACTACCTCCCAACCAAGTGAAGGGGGTGGATGGGTGGGGAGAAATGGCCAGAAGGGCCTTCTCTGATGTAAAGTAAGGCATGGTCTTGACCAAATCTTTTCCCACACTGTCAGCATTTATATGGTTTCTCCCTGGTGTGAATTCTTTGCTGTGCAATGAAGGAGTTATGCTGGCTGAAGATCTTTCCACACTCCAGGTATTTGTATATGAGTCCCCTGTGTGAGTCCTTGGATGGGAGGAAAGTATTGCATGCAGACTTCCCAGAGGTACCATACTGGCTGCTAGCAGAGATGATATTAGATGGATTTGAAGTCTAAACTAGCAAGACTGTTCTTTTGTTTCAGAGGATCTGATTAATTCAGGGTGTACTTGCACAACAAGAGACATGGAAGCCAAGAATGGGACCTCTGTGTACACAGCCGGTATATCTTTGACTGTCGGAACAACCATGAGAAGGTCATGCCCTGCTTGGGAAGCATCTATTTGACTGTTTCTTAGAGTTAGGGAATAGACATGTGGGATAGATGGGTGTTTGTGGGCGGGGAGGGGTTATTCATCTACCCTTTTTATTTTCCTGGCCTTTTAACCATCTAAGTATTAAACTTTATTTTTCTATGTCCCAGTTTATTTCTGTGCTGCTACTATGCTTCTGTGATGAATAACAGCAACTGCAATTAGGATTTGTACGTTAAATGGTTGTGCACACATCTTTTCCCTTGACTCCTAAAGTGGTAAAAGAGGAAGTAAAGAAGCAGCAGCACACTTTTTAAAAACTTTGTTTAATTTTAATTTCTGTTATCTGGGCAGAGAGCCTCAGCTATTCAGCAGTATATGAATGAATGAATGAATGAATGAATGAATGAATGAATGAATGTAGTAGCTCTCCACCTTTGCAACTTAGTCCCCAAGGAGACATGCCAGGTGCCATTGCTGTTCTCCTTCCAGCACCAAGTGAAAACTTTATTTCACAGATGCTTTCGTAATTAATTGGGTTTAACATGTTTTATTGATCCGGCTGCTGCCTTTCTGTGACCTTTTAACTTCCAGATTGTATTTAAGTCTTTTAATTGTTTTAATCTGAATTTCTGAATTTTAAAAATCGGATTGTTTTTCATTTTAAAAAATATTATTTTTACTGTTTAATGTATTTTATCTTTTAATCTTTGTTTTATTGTTAGTTATTGAGAGCTGCCCAGAGAGCCTTGCTGGCTATGGGTATGGCATATAAATGAAGAAATAAATACATACATACATGTTAGCTGAAATTTCCAAATACCTTTTCAAGGCAGCCATAATCTAAACCATATGTGTCTAAGATATGTGAAACTGCAGCCAGATCTGTACACATGGCATACAGATAAGCAAGGGACTGCACATAAAAATACATGGAGATTTTGGGGGAAAGCCTACTGTGAAAACGCATTTGTTGCATTTTGATCAGAGGTACAACCTTTTTTCCACTGGATCAAGCTCAAGAGAATCCTGATATTCTAGTTTGCAGCTGATGAGAGTACAAACAGCACAGATTGGCTGGCCTTTCTGTCAATCACAAAGAAATTTCCCCTTTGAGCAATTTTTCAAGGTTAAAAGAGTAAACCAGTTTGAAAAACAGCAGCAGGAAGAAACAATCGTTTGTCTGACTAAACAGGTAAGCTGCCTGATTTCCCCCTTTTAAAAAAGGTGGATAGCCCACATCTGGAATACGACAAAACAGAACTGCAAAGGAGTATTCAGTAATAAGGTTGTGCAGGTATCGTTTGAGGAATGAGGACAGAAAGAATTTCCCCTTGTAGCAGAAAAACCCACATCTGCTCATTTTTTAAGGCAGCAATGTTGCTGGGCATGATTTTGGGCATAAATCTGCATTAAATTTGCATATAGTATTTTATGTCTATATATGCAAATTTAGAACCAATTACTAAGGGCTGTAAAAGTTTAACAGAAGACAACATCAACCAATTAATTTCTCATCCAAATAACCTCAAATGAAATAAGTCCCTGAATGTGCACACTATCCTAGATCATCCCATATCAATAGTTATTCTTCAATTACAATAAATTTGCAAGCTTGCACTGTCCCTTCCTCCACTTCAGTGCCTCCACCCCAATTTCTGTGTCTTTCCTTCCTGGAAGAAAATTGCACCAACCCATGCAATTAAACTTGGAAAGAAGTTCCAATTGCCACCCATGGAAGTATTTTCTAAAGTTCATTGCAGGGGGGATTTAGCAAAGATGTTGCAGCATGTTGGGAAGAGACCATTAAGACTTCATTCAAGAGCTGCACTCCTGCTCCTTGACAAATTACCTTCTCCAAGGCAACTCAGCTCCATGGCACTTTAGCTTCCTTTAGCATTCATGGACAGTCAGGGTTCTAGGAAAGAGATCTGGAGCCAGGGACCCAAAACCTAGGCCTAGCAACACCATTTATAAGTGCGTCAGTCTGGACCTCTCCAAGTGTAGGGAGGATACAATAAGCATTAATATAAAATATGGAAAAAGATTTCTAAGGCTCATTTTTGTTTGCTTTGGAATGAAATGAAAAGCAGGAAAAACAATGCTTCTATTGCAGAAGCAGTAGCCTCCACTTTATCATACAAAGAAAGAAGAATGATCCAGAGACTGTTAGCTTCATTGAACATGTGAAAGTACTTACTGGTAGCAATTCAAGTAATCCTGGATCCCTTTGAAGCTAAAGGAAGGACCAGCAGAATGTGAACTGTGACACAGAAAAAGAAAAGAGGAAATGTAGTAGGGATCAACAGAAAACCAGGCTGGTCACCTGAAGGCAAGTGAGTGCTGATCCAGCACAAGCATCTCTTCTTTTAACGTCTCCATCTAAGGCGCATTTGACTAGCACTGATTCATTACCCTTCATTTCCCAGTCTGCAGGTTCTTAGAACTAGCTGACAGCAACTATACATTGCTGTGAAATACTATATAGTGTGAAAAAACAAACACACACTGATGGAATGCACCTGATCTGAGAATGCCAACCTGTCTTAGGGATAATTTGCACCTCCCTGCTCCCACAAGAAGCATTTTGTATTGTCATTTGCATTATTTCTTTTTTATTTATGACGTTGTATGCTATCCCATAAAAGTACTGAGGCAGCTTAAGATAAACAAACATAAAACAATTTTGAACACAGATAATCACACAAGAAAAATAAGATATGACAATAAAATGAAACTCATACTACCCCAAAATTAAGTATACAATCCTTAAAACAGAGAGACCAGAGAGGCCCTACTAACTAGTAGTATCATCAAGGCTTGCACCGCTATGTCTTACCTTTTGAGTGCCAGCCACCCTTCCTGAACTCCCTTGCCTTCCACTACCCTCTCCCAGGAGACTTTCCCTAGTCAGGCCTTCACTTGACCAAAGTTGGCCCTTGTGAAGTCCCAGCTTCTAATACTTGACCTGACACTCATACCTGTTCCCCTGATCTCAAAGCAAAGGATGGAGTGATCATTCGCATCCAGAGCTCCCCTAATCTGTACCTCATCTATCAGCTCCTCCCTTTGGGTCAGGACCAAGTCAAGTATATTTCCCTTCCCAGACCCTTCCCTCCCTCTATAGCAGGGGTCCCAAACTCGGGGCCCGTGGGCCAATTGCAGCCCATGGGATGACATTTTGTGGCCCCCACTTGATATCAAAGTTTAGTGATAGTGTGGCCCGTGTGTTTTTCTCACACGCACCTGCGTGAGTCGTTACCCTGGGCGCAATGTTCCCTCTAAGCCGTGCGCCGGGACGGGCGGGGCATGGGGGACGGGCCCTGCGGCCTTCAAAGAGCCAGTGGCCCGGCGCAGCTTAGAGGGAACACTGCCTGGGCGTTTTATATTTTTTGTCACCTGTGGGCTACCATAGCTCAGGATCGTGACAGCAGGGAGTCCCTGATGATGATCACCTGCCACCATCGCTTCCTAGTGGCCACAGACAGCTGTGCCTTGGCCCTTGCCTCTCTTGCAGCAGCCCCCTGTCCGCATCTGGTCCCAGGCTGGAGATCCTTGACAGGTTGGTCCCCCAAGTCCTCATAAACCCCAGCTTCACCAAGCAGAACTTAAACAAACAATATTTAAAATATTTATCAGGGTAGCGGTAGGTTGACCAAGATTCCCCACTCCCAAAATCCCACCCAGAGTTTCCCTGGTCCCAGAACCCTGGATCAGACCCTGGATTCAGCACATGACAAACCCAAGCTTTGGGGGAAAATAGCTTTATTAAAAGGATAAAATATAGGGGTGGGGGATACTAAAAATAGAGCTAAAAGGATAAAATGGGGGAAGAGGAATTTGAAGAGCAGCAACAGCAAGTTTACGGCCAACCAAGAATAACCAGCCTCTGAGATTTGCTGACCCACTGGGACATAAAATAACAAAGCTCAGCCTAGCCTCAGCTATGTACTCAGATGCTATCTCAAGCATCAGCATAGGCAACACAAGGGAGCACTCTCTGTAGCCTTGTTAAGGTCTCAACCCAAAGAGCACCTCTCAGGTTGTAAACTCTCTTTATCAGCAATAATTCACTATCTGTATGTGTATGAATAAAACACTAGTGTAGTACTGTTCAGCTGAAACTGCATTCTTAGCTGCAGTAATACTCTACTAATGTGAAAACTAATAGACATGCACTAAGAAGCCAATTGCTAGCACCCAACTGTCTGCTTAACTGTCCACTATTAAGAGTGAAATGTGGCCTTATTTCTTTAGTTAACAATGCACAGATGGCAGGATCAATGTACAGATGGAGATACCCCAAAATGAGTAACTGTTACATGAACTGGCTTTCTGAGGCTCCAGAGCATGGGTCCTCAAACTATGGTCCGCAGGCTGGATCCGGCCCGCCTGTGAGGTTTTCACTTGGAGAAAACAATCTCTGAGCGAGTCCAAACGCTCTGAGCCGGCGCAGGCACTCTTTAAAACTGAGCAGAGAGAGAGCTGGCGCATGCCCAAATTGCAACAGCTCAACTGCGCGTGCACCAGCTCTCCCCCGCACCATTGCACACATATACAGAGTGGAAATACGGAGCGAGAAACAGAAGAGAGGCAGGCAGAAGAGAGAGAGAGATGAAGATGAAGATAAAGAAAGGATTGAAGGTAACAAAAATATAACTTTTAAAATCTATTTTTAATTATGTGAGCCTGGGGGCAGCCAGGCTGGGGGCGGCCAAGCCTGCCTCACTGCGCCCGCTGCCACCGCTGCTGGCCCCCTGTTGAAAAAGTTTGAAGACTCCTGCTCCAGAGGGAAGAGGAAGGTTTAACATGCTAATTGGGAACCTGCTATCATTTTCCTCCTTTGTGATGTAGTGTGTGTGCCTCAATGACACAGAAGATAAGAGCAATGACTGGCTAATGACCAACACCTGGAGCAAGTAGCTGGCTCCAAGGACTGGGAGATGGGCCGGCACCCCACAGGTCAGCTGACCTAGGCTGGGGTGGAGTGGGGAATAAAGCCTGGGGAACAGAACAGCCTTTGTTCTTCTCTTGGAAGTTTTTGTCGGCTGCTGATTCCCCATGCCAAAGAATGCGGTGACATCCTGTGCAGATAGAAGGCAGAGTCACTGTGTATTGCCCAGGTCTTCTTTCAACTGTGCCTAATTTACTGTGACCCTACCGGGACAGGGAGAGCCTAGCCACAGCCACAGATGCTCTGGTAACTTCTTGGCTTGACTATTGCAACATGCTTTACATGGAGCTGCCCTTGAAGATGGTCCAGAAACTTCCACTGGTACAAAATAGGGTGGTGCAACTGCTGGTACAAGCAAATTTGCTTGCCCCGACCACCCCACTATCATCTCAGTTACCCTGTCTACTGGTTGAGCTCCAGGCCCAATTTAAGGTGCTTATGCTAACATATAAAGCCCTAAACGGCTTGGGACCAGGATACCTGAAGGACCGCCTGCTCCCACATATACCTGCCCGGTCCCAAAGATCTGGTAAGGAGGTCCTTCTCAGAGAGCCATCCTCTAAGGAGGTACCAAAGAGGATGGCAAATAGAATTGGGCCTTCTCAGTGGCTGTGCCCCATTTATGGAATGATCTTCCAAAAGTTTGTCTGGCACCATCATTACAATCTTTTTGGGGCTAAGCAAAAACAGTCCTCTTCTCTAGACGTTTTATTAATTGATTTATATTGTTTTTATCTTTAATATATTTTAACTTATATCCGTTCTCGACTGCATGTTTCTGTTTTATTGTAGGTTGTTTTTAATATTGTTATTTTATGTAATCTGCTTGGAGAGTTCTCAGACTAGTATAGCAGAATGTAAATTGAATAAATAAATACATACATTTCTGTCCAAGTGGGCCAACAGGGTCATGGGAATTGGAGTTTCTTGGCTGGCTGTAAACTGTACTGTTGCTGCTGTCCAACTTCCCCTTTCCCCCTCCCTCTCTCCCTCCTGGTTTTATCCCTTTAAGCTTGTGTGTTTTAGCCTCTCCAGCCCTATATTTTATCCTTTTAATAAACTTGTTTCGTTCCCCAGGTTTGGGTTTGTTATATGCTGAATTCAGTAACTGGTCCAGGGCTCTGGGACAAGGGAAATTCTGGGTGGGATTTCACCCAGGCGGCCAAGGGAGTGGGAATCCCTGATGGTCTTCCATTACACCAATGGCCGAGTTTGTTTTTAACTGTATAAAAACATTTGAATTGTTAGTAGAAGTGCTGATCTTTCTTGGAGGAGTGGGCTGCCCTTGATGGCTTTGTGCACACTCCAGCCAAGAGCTTTTTCTGTTAAACCTTGGTGGTGTTTGACTTCATGTTCCACAGTCAGACAAACAAACTTGGCCACTGGGGTTAAAGTCCCTGACATCAGTAATGAACATCAACGAGTCAATCATCAATTCCTAATGGTCTGGCATTTCTGTTTCTTATCTGGAGAATTGTAAACATATGACAGGTTGAATTATTCTTGTATCAAGAGACCAAGTTAAGCTGTACTGGGCTTTGGAATTTCAGATTTTAATCCAGAATTCTCTTGGACAAATCAAAGTATTGCATTTCTTAATTGGGCAGTGAGGTGGTACAAACATGGAAGGTACTCTTGCGGGCTGATCTGTTGCAAGGGTTCCTGTCAGACTTCCCTTTATGGATATGGGCATCCTTTAGTGGACTCCCAGAACAGTTGCACTTTCTCCTAAAGTCTGACAGATATTCTCCCCTTCCACAACCAACTTCCCCCAACTATTTGCTCTTGAAATACAGCTTTCCACACATAGTGGCCCAGGTACAGCCAGTTCTTTCCATCCTTATCATACCACCTATTTACCTTATCTTCAACAGTTCTGGGAGACACTCTGAGACATTTCCAGATTTCGAGTTATCGCTTTTTTCTTCCTCAGCAACTACTGGCATAAAAGTGGGATCTTCAGCAATATCAAGATAGCGCAAGACAGTAAAGTTGTTCAACCTGCAAAAAGGTGCATGTCACTACATGAGCTTGAAAAGGGAAGAAAGCATTGCAAAGGAATTACATCTGAGATCTTTCTACTACTCATCAATCTTTCTCACTAATATGCTACAAAGAGGGTCTTATAAATGCTGCCTATTGAAACATATTTGCAGAACTGAAAAGATGTTATCAGAGAAAAACAATATACATGCAAGTAAATCTAGGGCTGTCAAGAATCCAAATTAAAAAGAAAAAGTTGACGGAAAGATCAGGAGAGGACTAAAGCTTGAGAGTTGTCTTTCAACCCATGGGTTACAAGTAGCTAATTAATTACCTCCCCCCACCCCCCAGCCCACACCTCCAACAGCCAGGACACCTTCAGACAAATGGTCACACCATGCAATAGAAATGAGCAGGTGTAAACACTGGGCTCACGCACTCCCTTCTCCGTTTCTACATTGGTTCACATATAGGGGGGAAGGAGGAGCAGCTCTGATTCATGCTTTGGAGCAAGCAGCATCTACCCATGTTTGTACTAGTGCCTACTTTAAATCCTCAATTCAGAGATACTACCCTTTGTGCCCCTAAGCACTATGTCTGCAATAAATAAATAAATGGGACAAATTCATGAAAAACAAAAAACGTAGTACAGCCTTGTATGAGTGCATGGCTTAATTTTTGAGATATGGAAGTTTTCTGTGAATTCTCAAACTCTTTGACCAAAGTACAGCCCCCACCCCAAAATATTATGATGCATGACTGCTCCAAGTTGCTATCTCAAAAAATGTTTTTTGTCCTTTTCAATGTTTATTTGAATGCATGCAGGCTTAAAATGATTCAACATGGCAAGGCTGGAACTGAGGAGGACGGGACTATTTGGGTAGCCCTATCACTCTACCTACTTTAAATCATCTCACATTCAAGTACATAGGAGAGCAGAGTGTGTGTGCTTGTTATGAATGAAAGACAGGAGTTAACTATTCCTTAAGAATGCAGGCTGACTGCTCATTATAATCAGGAAGAGCTATTATCTCCAACTGAACCAGGTGGAGAAGAGAACAGAAGTGTTCGCAGCTCTGCAGAATTCAGCAAAACTGGCAACAAGACAAAAATCAGATCAGAACCCCAGAAGGATGCCAACACAAAGATTTCCACATAAGGTATACTGAGATTTGTTGATTTTTGATAAATATCTATATGTAGATATAAGCCCTGATAAGATAAAGTATGTGCCACTCTTTCAATTAGTAACTGCCACTTATTTGAATTTTTTTAAATAAGTGAAAGAACAAGATGAAGTTGTCTTTTACCTGCTTCGTTTCTTGTGTTTTCTGTTAGCTCTTTAGTATTTATAACAGGGGTATCCAATCTGCAGCCCGGGGGCCACTCACGGCCCAGAAGGGCTATGAATGTGGCCCAACACAAAATTGTAAACTTACTTAAAATATGGAGTTTAACGGTTATTTGTAACTCGATCACACAGTTTTCCAGTGTGTACTTTGAGATGACAATGTCATGTTGCAATGTCATGTAAAATAGACATATCTATGCTCCCACTATTTGTATACATGCAAGGCTTCAGTTTTGCGGCAATCTGCAGCTTCCAGTGTGTTACCTTCTAAGTGCAGACAGTCAAATTTACACCATCAGACATTACATATGCTCATGGTGACTTGGCCAATGAAATGCAGCTACTATCAATAATCTTTCAACCTACAATGTTGCAAACAATTTTATACATTTTGACAAGTTGGCTAAACACAGTCCTGTGAACAGTGAAAAAATGCAGCCTTGCTTTCCGATTTGATACAAGAATTTGAAAACAGATTTCAAGATTTCTGGGAAAATAAGCACTATTTCGGTATATTTGCAACTCCATTTTCAGTTGACATAAATACGTTGCCTGCCAATTTTCAAATGGAATGCATAGAGCTGCAATCTGACATTCAACTTAAAGAAAAATTTGATCATGGACTTTTATAGGTCGTATTGTCCCAGAGACAAATATCCCTTGTTTCACAAGCATGCCTTATTCATGTCTTCGCTTCTTGGAAGCACCTACATTTGTGAGCAACTGTTTTCAAGAATGAAGCACACTAAGAGTAGAGCCAGAAAGAGTGAAGCGACTGGGCTGAAGCAGAAAGGGCACTCAGCTGTGGATGTATCTGGTGGTAAAAGGAAAGTCCAATACTTCAAAGAACAATACTGCATAGGAACCTGGAATGTAACATCTATGAATCAAGGTAAGCTGGATGTGGTCAAACATGAAATGACAAGACAGAACATCGAACATTGATCATCGACATCTTGGGAATCAGCAAATTCAAATGGACAGGAATAGGTGAGTTTAATTTAGTATGTTTTATGTATTGTAAGCCAGCTAGGAAGGCCTCGGCAGTGATAGGCAGCCTACAAATACGTGTGTGTGTGTGTGTGTGTGTGTGTGTGTGTGTGTAAATAAATAAGTAAGTAAGTAAATCAGCCTTCTAAGTGTATTCCGTGGTGAGAACAACATGGAAGCCATCTTCACCTCTGCACTCCTCCTGCGATGCATAGGATGTCATCATCAAGTTCAGAGGGTTATAGGCAGCCTTACTGGGTGGCCCCCTCTGTTTTAAAACTTTCTGCACAGGATTCCGCACTGTATAATACGGTGTGTTTCCCCTTTTCAAATATTATGACATTGATTGTGTCTTTCTGAAATTCTGTGGGAATATTTGATGTGTTTTTCTATGAATGTAACATTCATTTATACATATGTATACATGTATTATACATATTTATTCTATATATGTTTACAGCATGGATTATATCTTCTCAGTTTTGTTAATTAAAATGTGATGGAGGGGAACTAAGAGTGGGGTGAAGGTAAGAACAACTCTTCCATGCCAACCTTTATGTGTGAACTGTGCAAAATCATGAAGTTGGCATTACTTCTGGCAAAACTGTGTAAATATTTCGGACTTGAGGTGCATTTCAGACATTAAAACAATACTTACCGTATTAGAAGTGGCACTAAGAAAAGTTGTCCAAAAGCCTAGGAAAGAGAAAGAAAAAAACAAAGAAATTTTGTAATCATGGGTCTGCAGCCCTACATTTCTTTTTACACTTGTATCTACTTTGTTTTACTCTTTTGTATAGTATCTTGAGAGGGTTCTACCTTTTAAAGTAGCTGAGAGCTAATTTATATAGACAGACAGACAGACAGACAGCTCCTATTCACTCTTCCTTGGACATCCAGCTTTAGAGGGGTATTTGCTAAAGCATGCTCACCATATTTTAGGCTCAGACATGTACCATTTTCTCCAAAAAAACAAAATAACTACTGGTTTTCACTACATGCCAGATTTGCACAATGCTGAATCGCCAGACTTTGCATTAGTCATAAAATCATATTATTCTCAGAGCAGTTTTTTAAATGTAAAAATCTCCCATCAACCATGGTACCCTTCTGGGGAAACTGTCGGGAGTTCGGTACGAGAGGCACCGCATTGCAGTGCTTCCACTCCTACTGAGATAGTAGACTCCAGAAGGTGGTGCTTGGGGGATGCTTTCTGTCCCTTGGATTCTCCAGTATGGACTTCTTCAGGGGGTCAGTCTTGTCCCTGTGCCATTTAACATCTACATGAAACCACCAAGTGGGGGAATCCAGTTTTAGAGTGCATTGTCATCCATACAGCTCTGCCTCTCCTTTTCATATTCAGCAGGTGAGGCTGTGATGGGCTGAACCACTGTCAGGTCATGACAATGGATTGGATAACGGCAAATAAACTGAAGCTCAGTTCAGACAAGACTGAGATGCTGTTGGTGGGTGGTTCCTTTTTTGGCACCAAGTAAAGACTGTCCTCTGCTGCAGGGCATTTAATTAGTTACTGGGGCCTAGAAAGATTTGCGAGAACAGCACTGGTTCCAGAGCTTGAAAGACTCTCTCAACTAATTACAGGAGCGAAGGTGCGGGCGGGGGAGGAAAAAAATTCCCCCACAACAGGAGAAAATCTTGTACCTGCTTTTGCTTGAAGCTGTGACTATATACAAACTTGGAGTGCAGTTCAAGTTTGTTCCTAACTTAGTACTTGTTTTACTCATCTATAAATCTTTTAGAGCATGTCCAATTTCATTGCCATTAAGAAGCAAGTTTTGCCCATGATGCACACAACCTACTGCAGGACCACATGGATACCATTAGGTTCTCCCACACCACTTTTGTACAACTTACAGTGTCAGTCACCAAACACTTTACCATTCCCAGTTTTCATAGAAACATAGAAACAAAGCGAGTCAGAAGGGGCCTCCCAGGTCCAGCCGGCTCCGCTCAAGACATGCCTACCATGTGCATGTCTAGCCTATCCTTGAGCACCCTCACCAATGGGGCCTCAACCAACTCCTGTGGAAGCCCATTTCATACCCTTGGGGTCCTAACTGTCAGGAAGTACTTCCTGGCATCCAAATTGAACCTTGGTTCCCTCAACTTCGCTCCACTGGAGCACATCCTGACCTCCTCTGCAGGGGAGGTCTCTACCCACCTCCGTGTGACACACCCTCACATACCTGTATGTCGCTAATAGATCCCCTCTGAGTCTCCTCTTCGCCAGACTGAAAAGACCCAGTTCCCTCAGTCTTGGCTCATACGGCATCCCCTGCAAACCGGCCACAGACCTTGTGGCCCTATGTTGCACTGACTCTAACCTGGCTATATTCTTCCTGTAACGAGGGCCCCCGAACTGAACACAATACTCCAGTTGTGGGCATACCAGAGTCATATAGAGTGGCAGTAACATCTCTCGATCTAAAAGCCATGCTTCTGGGTATGCATCCTAGGGTGGCGTTCACCCTCTTGACCACCATGTCACACTGCTGACTCATGTTTAGCCTGCAGACAACCAGTACCCCGAGGTCCCTTTCACAAGTGCTGCTCTCCCGCCACTTGTCCCCTCACCTGTACTTATAGCACCCATTCCTATGCCCCAAGTGCAAGACCTTGCACTTATCCACATTGAACGCTAACCTGTTGTTCCATGCCCACTTCCATAGTCTGCCCAGATCCTTCTGGAACCGGAGTACCTACTCCTCAGTTGTGGCCACTGCCCCCATTTTAGTATCATCTGAGAATCTGATCAACAGACTGGTCACCCCTTTTCCATGATGTTGATCGGTTCCAGAACAGAGCCCTGGAGGACCTCGCTTGTCACTGCCTGCCATCCTGATGATTCCCCACTAACGGTTTCCCTCTGCTTTTGGTCAGTCAACCATGCCTTAATCCAAGGGTCCTCAAACTTTTTAAACGGGGCTAGTTCACTGTCCTTCAGACTGTTGGGGGGCCAGGCTATACTTTGAAAAAAAAATGAATGAATTCCTATGCACACTGCACATTAAAAATTAATTAACATTAAAATAAATTTAAAAAATAATTAAAACTTAAAAATAATTAAAACATTAAAAAATGTTTGTTCTGCTCACTTGGGCGGCAGCAAAAGCCCAAGATGAGGTGGGGAAGAGCATGTCCATATTCAAGGGACATAACTACAATGTCCACGATCGTGCTGGAGGGGAGACAGACATGATCGCGCTCATGCAGGGAAGATGGGCACAATCGTGGGTGTGCTCATGCAGGGAAGGAGGAGAAAACGATCTCCGAGCGAGCAAGCTGCTGCCTCGCCACATGCCCCCGCCCCCACCTCACCTTGCGTGCACCCCCTGCCCCACAGATGTGCCACCCCCGGCCCCTCACCCGCCGCCAGCACTGACTCGCTGGCCCGCACCCAGTGCCGGCACCTTTCAACTGGCCCCCTGTTGAAAAAGTTTGACGACCCTTGCCTTATATACGCACATACAAAGGCCACTGCAAGGTCCCTGATGAATAGTGTCTACTTCGAAATACATGCCTTGTAAGAGTGGAAGGCCCTGGAGGATCTTATTAGATTTCTATCTCGTCCCTTAGCAAAAACGGCTCTCTGGGTGGGTTACAAAATATAATAATAGAATAATAACATAGATAATAATATATAATAGCCAAAATATTACAAGAAAAAATCACAATGTCAAACACATAAAAGGCCCTGCAAGAGAATTACACAATAACCACTGCTCTTAAACCATTAAAGCCATTAATAACCATGGGCTAAAGAAAAACGTAAGATGCACTGAGAAGTATAAAAGTTAGATGACAACAGCAGGATACTCACACTGTTGGCCAAGTGCACAAAAAGCTGAAGCAGGAAACCAGAGAGTCTGGGGTTCCACTGGAGATCAAGGGGGGGAAAAAAAAGAAGAGTCCTGTGAACAGGTCTGTTGATACAGGGATGCTAACTTCCATGACAATAAATCTGTTATCAAAAGAGACCAGTGGAACAGCATTTTACTCCCCTACTTGCACTGCCACTATCTTGAGAAGGAAAATCACCATTCTTTTTCAACATCAACAGAACATTCATTACTTACTATTATTTATTTCATTTCTATACTGCCTTATAGCCAAAGTTCTCTGGATTATTTACACTAGTGCATTAAACAAAACAATTAACATACAATAAAAATATCATAAATACAAAACATTAAATTGAGTTTAAAAGAGTTAAAAACATAGAGTAAAAATGGCCCTGAAAAGGAAAAGAATAGCCTGGCCAATTGTCTCAGGCCACAGGGTGACCAAGGAGAGCATTAAAGGCCATAGCATAAAGGACTGTCTTAACCTGGTGCCAAAAAGATGGCGAGATTCGTACCAGGCAGACCCCTGCAGGAAAGTTGTTCCAAAGATGGGGTTGGGGGTGGGTTTGTCATCCCCTGAGCTTCCCTCGGGGTTGGCATTAAGTCTAGTATCCCTGTTTGACCTACAAGCAATGTAAACCTCCCTGAGAGTTGTGCCAATTTAGGGGAAGGAAATTCACTTGAGAATCAGCTATCTGAAAAGGGATCAATAACTTGATGGATAGTTCTTGCTAACATTGATGGAAGGTTCTTGCTAACAACCTTTATCGCTAACTTTGTATCACAAAGCCAACCCTGGCTGACCAGCTTAACTCAATAAAAGACTGTAGTTAGAAGCTACTTGCCTTGATCTGCTTGGAAGCAAAAAGGAAAGAGGTTGGCAGGAGAGAGAGAGACCCACTCATGACACCAACTACGATTGGTACTTCTGCTCAAATTTATCCTGGAGTTGCTTATCCTAGAGTAACTTGGTTTTCATGAAGCTGCTTGTTTCCTGTAAATATGCTCTCCAACAAACCCCAAGGCTTTCCAGAAACAGATGCCTTTAATCTGAGATCATGTGGCACTGGAATTGCACATAGGTGGATGCTATTCAGCTGCTTAACAGTATGTGATTTCTGTAGGAAGTGGGTTACACCAAAGCATATTTAGGCTTGTCACAGGCAAATTAGGCATATTTAGCCTTGTTGAAAAGGAAATTCATGAGCAATTTGTCATTTTTTTTTCAAATCTATATAAAAAACACTAATCTCAGAAGATAAGATGGAGAAGTATATGGAAGAAACAGGTCTTAAGAAATTCACCCCAGAACAGAGGCAAATATTGAATGTTACTATTACTATTCAAGAGCTATTCACAAGCTATTAATAAAGTAGAAAAAGACAAAGTACCCGGTCCTGACAGATTTATTGCAATGTACTATAAATGTTTTGAGGAAAAACTAATTTACCACTTCAACAAGTAATGAATGAAATTAATGAAGAGGGATCATTACCACCAACATGGCGGGTAGCTCATTTAACACTGAAACACAAAGAAAGCAATGATCCAGTGCTACCACACTCTTATCGACCTATTTTGTTATTGAAGTAAAAAGTTTATAATCAATTTTTAATGATGGCAGAGAGATTAAGAAAATGTATGGAAAAGCAGATTCATACAGACCAAACCGGATTTGTCCCTAATAAGAATATGAAAGATGACATACGTTTTGTGATTAATGCTATCTGATGGGTCAAGAAGAAGAAAGCTGCATTTATTTTCTTGGATGTTTTTTAAAATTAATTTTATTTTCTTAACATATACTAATAGGAATAAATAGAAAATAGAAAAAAACTAATATGAACAGAACAAGCTAAAATGAACAAAATAAACAGAATAGACAAGATTGCCAATGGAATTTTAAATAGATACAGCCTATATTGCAACCCCCAAAGTGACTCTCTTTTTAACTTCTCATGCTTTATGAGAGTTTACTGAGAAGAAATACATCAACAGATACTGCTTTCCTTTTTCTTTTCCTAACTCCCCTGAACTTCCATTAATCATGCTAAGCACAATAAAAATTCCATTTATCATTAAATTCTTCTTACGGTCTTCTGTTTACATAGTTGGTTAGCTTTGCCATCACTGTATATTCTCAATCAATTCCTTATTCGGTCATTGACCAGTCAATAAATAAAACACAAAATTACAATTAGTTAAAAAAATAAAGTACTAATAAAATTACAATTAAGATAAGAAAATAAAAGCATTCTGATAGAACCAAACAACGTTTAGGGTTAATTCTACCATGCTTTTAAACGGAAATCATCAGAGCCCCCAACTATTGGAGAAATACCGTATTTTTCGCTCTATAAGACGCACCTGACCATAAGATGCACCTAGTTTTTAGAGGAGGGATCCATGGAAAGCTTCCTGATAATCACAGGCACATTCCCCATCACTTCCCCATGGGCTTCATTAAAAGACGGGTTGCCATTTGAAAACACACACCAACCTGTGATTAACAGCTCTCACCTGCACTGGAGGAGGGGGGCGGGGTGGAGCAGGGCGCGCCGAGTGTGTGCCGGCCAGGTGTGGTGCAGCCGGGCCGGCAGCGTGTCGGCGGTGGTCTTCTGGGTGGCGCGGCGGCAGCGGCAGGTCTTCCCAGGAGGTGGGGGTGAGCAGTCCGTCTCTCCGTGCGGCCGGCGGGTTAAAGCCCACGGCTCCTCCTCCTCCGCACCGCTCCCCCTGAGCGGCACAGCTCTCACCTGCGCCAGAGGGACAGGGGCGGAGCAGCACGCACCGAGCACGTGCTGGCCAGGTGGTGCCACATGGTGCAGGTGGGCCGGCAGCGTCCCGGGCGTCGGGCACACACACATTCGCTCTATAAGACGCACAGACATTTCCCCTTACTTTTGAGGGGGAAAAAAGTGCGTCTTATAGAGCGAAAAATATGGTAGATTAGCCGCATATGCTGTGATGGCAAAGTTTAGAAGACCATTAGAAGAATTTGATTATAAATGGAAATGTTATTATGCTCAGCATGACTAATAGGAGCTGAGGGGAGTTTGAAAAAGAGAAGGAAAAGCAGTATAGTTTGAAGTGATTAGATTTGTTGTTGCATGGGTTTATGGGATTTTTTTCTATTAAACTCTCACAGAGGGTTGAAAGATAAGATAGTTTAGAGGGATTGAAGCTGTTGAACGTTTAGGCAGTATTTGTTTAAAATTCCCTTGGCAACTTTGCTCACCTTGTCTAGTTTAGTTTACATTACTGTATTTCCCCGAAAATAAGACCAGGTCTTTTGCTCCAAAAGTCGCACAAGGGCTTATTTTCAGGTAACGTCTTATTTTTTCATGTACAACAATCTACATTTATTCATGTACAAAAGTCTACATTTATTCAATTACAGTCATGCCATTTTTTTCTGGAACATTGTCATAATTCTCCAAACCCTGAATTGTGTTGCAATAGATGTTGCAATGTGTCTGTCTGGCTGATGATCTTAATGGGCTTATTTTTGGCATAGGGCTTATATTACAAGCGTCCTGAAAAATCCTGCTAGGTCTTATTTTCCATTTAGGTCTTATTTTCGGGGAAACAGGGTAGTTTCCTCTGTTTACATTTTTCTTCGTGCATCTGTGTACGTCAAGAAAATAAAAATTATTTAAATAATATTTCAAACCTTCACAGTGTTAGTATCTTCTTTTAATCAAACAGTAACAATACCAATTAAATCCATTTCAATTCCCACTTGAAACACAGTACAGTGTAGAAAAGTTGGGGTGGCAGAATGAATACTGCTGCAAGGCACTATAGGTCCCATTCTCTGCTTTGCTCGCTAAATATGTTTTCCCAGCTATGGTTGAATAGCAATATATACAACAAACATCTGCTAGAATCTAGGCTTGGCCTGGCTGTTTTTACAGGTCTAGTAGTCCACATTCATAAATATCTATTACCAATGAAAAAATACACAGGTTCCTAAACCAGAATGGAATAATAAATTGCAGTGTTCTGCTTTGCCCAATTTGTCACTTTGTTGGCATCTCAGAATAGGTAATGGAGAATTATATTTAATTCAGCAAAAACTGATAGTTTAGGGATACTGGATGCTACAAAATCTTTTTAAGAAAGATTTCTCAAAATTAGCCAATTGTTGGTGGTATAATATAGTTGATATAGATTCTGTGATACACATGTTCTTCTTAACTATGTACTTTTGGAAGTTAATGCAAGCTTAGTGCAAATGGATCCTCCACATGCTTTTGACAGCTAAAAGACTAATATTACAACACTGGATGGTCAAATCACCTTTGACAACACAATGGATTGAGGAGTTGACAATTTTGGTTTTTTGAACAGGTGTTATTTAGATGTAATCTATAAATGGAAAATCTGGATTGCTTTTGCTGAAATATATGCATATCTATCCCTAAGATAATGGCTTATGCTGCTATTCATGTAATATATAGGGGCAGATAGCATTCATTGAGATTCACTCAAATTCATGTAAGAAAACTGTAACACTTTAGTTTTTTTTTTTAAATGGGTTTGTTTTGAAGTTTCAAATTCAAAATTTTAAAAAAGGAAAAAGGAAAACCCCTCTTCTTTTTGCAGCTCTTTTTTGAGCATTACTGCTACACTTAAAGACAGTTCCCTTACAGTTCTAAAAATTATTATATTTCTATACCACTTGGAGCCAAAGCTATTACAACTGTTTACAACTTTTTAAAGTCAACCCTTCTGATTTCAATCAAGCCTAACCCTGCTTAGCTTCCAAAATTAGTCAGGATCAGGCACTTCAGGCTATACAAAGGCTCATGGTGACATTATGAATGAAGGCTTTCAAAATGTCTTATCCATAAAAAGGTGGAAGAAGTTAATAACTTCTGTCCCAGCTATAAAATTTACACACATTTCTTGCTCCACCCTCAATTACCCCCATATGGCAGGGTTTAAAAAATTCCATTGTTATCAAATAAAACTGTGGGGAAGTTGATTTCAATGGAGAATGAATTGGCTGGCTATATCTTCTATGAAATTTAAACAAATCCTACTAATAAATACTAAATTATTATTAAATTATTAGAGAGCCAGTGTGGCATAGTGGTTAAGAGCATGGGACTGGGACTCGGGCGATCTGGGTTCTAGTCCCTGCTCAGCCATGGAGCCAACTGGGTGACTTTGGGCCAGTCACAGACTCTCAGCCCAACCTACATCACAGGGTTGTTGTTGTGGAGATAAGATGGAGGAGGAGATGCAAGCTGCCTTGAGCCCTTTGTAGGAAAAAAGCAGAATATACATCGAAAAATAAATAAATAAATTCATATTTATAATTATATATTGGCAGGTGCCCGCGTTATGCATATTCGTGTACTTTGAACCTGCATCCCAAATGTACTAAAAGACTAGCTACTCCCTAGGTCTAGGTAGGAGAACCTTCACTCACCCCGTCAGCAGGCAGCCTCCTAGCTTCCTCGGCCCGGCCACGCTCCCTGCAGGAGAAAGCAGTACGCGAAGCCCCGGTAACGCGCCGCACTAAGCCCAGATAAGTGAGGACCAAGAGCATGGCTCCCCATGCTGCCAGCGGGGGCCACCAGTCGCCATCCTCCATGGCTCAAGAAAGCAAGCGACTGCAGAGAACAGGAAAGAGTGACCAGAGCCCTCTTCTCCCGCTCGCTGACCTTCTCTTGGAGGCGGAGCTTGGCCTGGAAGGGTCCAAACGGACGCCAATGGCAGCAGCAGCCCTCAAGGAGGGACGCCTTCTGTTGCTCGGAGTGACAGATTTGGGACAACCCGTTATCTTGCGAGACACTTGAGTAGCAGATCTGCACTGAAAGCAAAATACCACGGAATACGTTGGCTGACGATTGCAGCCTTTGCTCCGAACTAATCGCAGGCTGGCGTTTGCAGAGGGGAACCACGCTCAGGCTACCCCAACGACTGGAACAAACAGCAGAGGGGATCATGTGAGTTAGCGGCTAAATCCTTTCTGTGGTGCCTTCGAAGAATGACAACAGCTTTCCCCAACCAATGTGTTCGGTTTACACGTTCTATAATTTCCTATGGCCAAACTGACTGGGAATTATGGGAGTTGCAGTTCCAAAACAATCTGGAGGGCGCTTCATTCCGGAGAACTGGATTAGCAGTTAGGACGATTTTCATCGGGGGAACAGTGCGAACAGAAAGATATATGAAACCACTTCCTATTCAGATCGAGTCATTGGCGGGTTGTTCTGCCTTCGCCGCTAGGCTTTCAACAGCAAACATCCATGGGCTAGAAAGATACCCGAGTCAGGTGGGAATATTGAACCTCTAGTAGGGTATGAGAGTTCGGCCAATCGCAGTAACTCCAGTGCTCCGGGACGTCGGTACCACTTGCTGCCAAATACCTTGGAAGAGACAAAAGACAGCGAGAAGGACAGTTAGGGATATGAATAAGTCGGGTAGGGCAAAACAGAGGCTGTACTTGTAAAACCTTAGAAAGCAAACCCTGTTAGGCACGAGGAGAACCCATTTACGAGAAAAAGATACACAGGACCGAAATCCAGTTTTCATTTGCCTGTTTCTAGACTGATGAATAGGGTTGTATCCCATGCTTGTTTAATTTGGCTTATGTATTTCAATGGGTCTACCCTAAGTCGAACTTTCATTGCGCAGAACCCTCATCTAGCTCATCTTCCCAAATGCTTTGGCCTGCCACTCTCACCGACATGGGCAACGACGAAGGATGATAGGGATTTTAGGCTTAAACTGCTGACAGGTCAAACTTTACAGGCATTCGTGAAACGGGAGTCTTTGAATGGAATCGCCCTGTCTTTTCCGAACGTTTCGGGCTGCTCTTAAAGCCCCGGAGATCCTGAAAGCCGGTAATGAAGCTCAAGGTGGGATTTATCAGGGCTAGTGCAACCCTTAACGCTTTGGCTCTAAAATTACGCTCACGAGGTTCCGTTATACTCCTTTCAAGTGTCAATATGACACCCGCTTTCACAGCTGAAGTAGCGGGACCAGGAAACGCGAACTGCGTGCTTCGACAGAGAGACCGGCGCGCAGCGTCACAGAAACAAAGGACGCCCCTATGGCACCAGTAGCGAATCAGAAAATTAACTTTCTTCCAAACAGCGAATGGGCTCAAGCCAGCTTGCTGCTTCTCTTCCGGGAGGTGGTTTGGAAAAAATAAACTGGGGTCGGAGAGTTTCGGCGTGGAAGCACGGAAGGGGTGGTGATGTCTCGCTTCTTCCAGTCAGTTTTTGACAAGTGCGGATCCAGGAGGGGAGAAGCAGTTGAAGAGGAGCAGTTAAGCCAATGGGGGCTGACAGGTATATGGGGCGCTTTAGATCGGGAGTTGTGTGAAGGGGTAACACTCATGAGGTCTGTATTAAACGGTTCAAATACTTGCTTGCTGAATAGAAGGCATATGATGCTAACCATTCTCTGAGGATGGGGCTGTCAGGGACTTTAACCCCTACGGGCTTAAAGGTTTGTTTGGCTAACCGCCAGAGGCTACAAACCACCAGCAAGATTCAAAAAAACGAAAGCTCTTTATTGACGCATGCACCCAACAATACAGAGCAGCCTGCTCCTCCTTCATGAGAGACCAGCATCAGCCATTAGCAATTCAAATGTTTTTATACCTTTGATACATGGATGGGAAGTAGGCCACATTCCACATTTATCTTAACAGTGGACAGTTAAGCAGATGATTAGGTGCCAACAATTGACTTCCCGGCAATATCACAGGAATGCTGTTTCAGCTGAACAATTTGTGTTACTCTAGTGTTACATTCGTGCATGCATAAAAAATGTTTGAATTTCTATACTACTTGAGCTTTCTTCAGGTTGAGGCCTTGGCAAGGTTACACAGAGTCTGTTGACCAAACGTTCCGTGCCCTGATGTGCGTATGCCCAAAATACCCTACGGGGAAGGTTTTCTTTTAAAAGATTTATTCTCAAGAATAACTGGCTGCTAATGAATCATTCCAGATGGTGCACCTGAGCAGTCCTCAGCTGGCTCTTTTATACATTGATCATGAAAGAGTTACATATAACACTTTTTAATAGGTTAAAGAAATTTAAAAAAAAAATTACAATGGCATGATCTTTCCTGCCTGCATACAAAAGAGAAAGAAGATGCTTCCCAGGAGGGGAGGAGAATGGAGTGTTATTCCAAGGAAGAGGAGGATGGGGTGGGTTAATGTGAATTGCCCTTTGTTCCAGCTGCACTTATCTATCAAGTGTCAGCTAGCTGTATCTGGAATGGTACCTGGCTAGTGTCAGCTACATTTCAAGGATGCACATGCTGATTTTTAGAAAAGAGGTTTCTTTTACGCCTAACTATGTGTTAATGATTGCATGGTTAAACAAAGAATAATATACCTATTGATCTGTACATCAAGTCCAAGCAGAAGGAATCACAGATTTTATATTAGGCTGATGGGAATAGAGTAGCTTCAAAATAAGTTTGAGCTGGAATCTCAAATGTCAGCCTTCTTAGTAGCATCTTCTGGAATATCCTCTCCCATAGGATTCAGGAGGGGTGAGTTTTAAAGGCATCCTGAAAATGTACCTGCATACACAAACTTTACTCTGCTTATAATTGAGTAGTGTGATGCTGGTTCATTTGACTGTTTTCTGTTTGTTTTTTTTCATTCTTATTATTTTGGATATTTAATTATCTTTGTTTCTTTGTAGCTTATTGAGTATTAGTGTTACTTTAAGGATTTGTCATGTATACTGCTTACTGATATTTTATAGTAAATGTTATATGAGTATTACTAATAAATGAATGTGTTATGTGGGTATCTTTATGGAACTAATTAAAATGGGTTTTATGCCATTGAACAAGTGATATGCCTGTCCCCCTAAAGAATTCTGAAAATTGTGGTTTGAGTGTCTTGAGATCAAAAACTTTAGAATATATAGTTTGCTTCTAAGGCAGGGGTCTCAAACTCGCAGGGCACGGGAGGGGCCCTGCGGCCTTCAAAGCGCCGGCTGCACCCGGGCCGCAGGATGAGCGGCCCACCACGACCGCGGTGGTGATGCGGCCCAGCCTCGCCCAGATTCTACTTCCAGCGGCCCCCAGGTAAGTTGAGTTTGAGACCCCTGATTTAGTGGGACTGACTTCCATGGAAGCATAACAGTCATGCCTAATCTTAGATCCACTTTCCTGGATGGCATTTACTTCTGAGTTAATGTGTAGGATTATGGTGTTGGTATACACTTTAAACATTAATCAGTTGCATGCATGTTGGCTGGCATAGATACCAAGCTAATAATTTGTGGCTGCCAGGATCCCTTTTCTTCAAAGAGCAGGTTTGTTCATCTGATTTCATCCTGTGCCTCCCAGATATCACAAATCCAGAACCTCCACCTTCCCCTTTCCTACTTGGAACTGTGAATGGGGATTGTTCTTAAAACTGGTCTGCTCAGAAGTACAGCACAAAAGCAAGCCTTTGCACCCATCTCTGTCATGAAGCACTTGGAAATGAAAGGCTGAATTGACAGGCCCATTCCTCCACCTCAGCTTTTAGCTGGAAAAGAAAGTTGCAGTTTGTGGTTTTGGCACCGTACTTCCAATGAACTTGGGAAGTCTTAAAAGGTGTGGGGCCTAAACCATTTTCAGAGCAAGAGAAAAGAATGAGATCATGCCTGGAGTTAAGTTGAAGACCTCCAAAGCATAGCACACTTGTGGAAACAGTCTAGTCTCCTTTCCTACTTGCACCCACATTTGAAATGTGTTTCTTGTGCTCATCAGAGTGGAGTGTGATATATTCAGTATTGCAAGCCAAATTGTTTACCTCTGTTAAGAGACCCTTTCTCACTAGCTATGATCTCCATTGAGATCACTACTGGTCAGCAATCAATATTGGAGGGTTTAAGGATAAACTGGGATAAATCAGAGATGAAGTTACTTAACAGTGATAAAGAAGAGAAAGAAAAAAGAGGAATAAATTCAAGGTTAAGATCTCTAGAGTTAAGTATTTAAGCATCAATACTACTTAAAAGGTAAAGAGTTTAAAAAAGAATAATTTTGATAAGTTGAAAAATGGAATAAAAGAGAAAATGACTGACTTCAGGAAGATTGGATTATCTTGGCTTGGTAGAATAGCACTATGCAAAATGAAAATATTGCCTGAGGTTAATTTTTTTTATTTATGATGTTACTGTTTAAGATAACAGAGATTTAAAAGAATGGCAAGATATGATCTTTAAGTGTTGTAATGGGGACAAAAAATATAAACAAATTTTTTAAAATGATGGTATAAATTTTAAAAAGGATAAATTTAAAAAATGGTATAGAGCACAAAAGATAGAGAGACTGAGTATCACTAATGGAAAGTCATATTGTATCACTAATCAGTTGAGGCATATACCAGATATTATATTATCAGGTTATAATATATAATTTATCTGCTATATGCCTCAATTGATTAATGATATAATATGGCTAGAATTAGAATCTTCCCAGTTAGGATTCCTTGATAGATCTTATTTTTAAATATGAAAATAAAAATATTAGAAAAAAGGTAGAAATACTTTCCTTAAAATACATTACAAATCTGGAAAAAGTATAAGGAAGAAATTATGCCATCAATCTCACCTTTATGCCCAATGATGGAATTAGAAAGGTTTCTGTCAAATTTAAGGGAAATTTTAGGGAAAATATAAAGGAATATTCAAATAGATTAAAAGATTGGCTAGAGAAAATGAATAAAAATGGAGAGGTCAAAAACAATATTGGATAAGGAGAAAATAACTTGGTATAATGGGAGTCAGTAAGAAAGTTAGACTAGCGAACAGATAAGGAAAAGAGGTAGATGCAGAGATTATACAAAATTTGAAGATATGATTATAGAAAAGGAAAAATGAGAATATGCAGAAGAAATAGTAAAATTTATAAGATATTATTAGAAGAACAGCATCAATATGTTTCACTTAAAGCAACATGGGAAACAAATTTGAGAAAGAACATCAGTAATGAAGATTGAGAAAATAGTTGGATGAAGAGGATATTAAAAAGTATGTCAGTAAGAATAAAGGAAAATTTCTACAAAATTGTATGGAAGTAGTACCTAACTCCAGTGAAGTTGAATTGTATAGATAGCAAATATTCCAACTGATGTTGGAGATCAGGTCATGAAGTAGGTACATATTTCCCTATATGGAGGGAATGTGAATATACAATGAAATTTTGGAAAGGAGTTTTTAAAAAGTGTTATAAAATATTAAGTCTAAATATAGATATGTGTGCTGAAATTGCATTACTTTCAATATTTGATTAAAATGGAGCTGGAATAATAACAAATTAATAACACATTTTGTTGATGTCCCTGCTAGCCAGGTGACTTACAGACCCACTAAACCAAGTGCCAATGAGGTTCAGTCAGGCGGAGATTCGTTCAGTTTTCTTTATTCAGCTGAGCAAAGCCACCGGGTGTCCGCTCCCTACACGCAGGCAGGAAGAAACACACACACACATTCCTGCTTTTCCTCTCTTTTTCCACTTAATCTCGCCCCCATCGTTCCCTCACCCAATCCCCTCTCGGGTCTGCCTGACCCTTCCCCCAATCCCCTTGCGGGGTCTGCATGTCCACTGCATGCCTGGCCTGTGCAGGTGCTTATCTGCGTCCAATCCCCTCACAGGGGGAGCGTGATCACTGCGTGCCAGTCCTTGCTTGGGGGGGGTCTCTCTCACTGCCTCTTTATCAACATTCTTTTGCCTTCCCTTTTTCCTCTCCAAAGCAAGCAAAAAACAAATGGCGTTTGTTAGGCTAACCAAGCTCCTATGCAAGCGGCTGTTTACAAAAACAAATAGCGTTAGTTAAGCTAAAAGCAAATACCATTAGTTAAGCTAATCAGGCTCCTTCACATTTAATAACTGCAGCAAGATTAATTATAGGTAAGAATGGGAAAGTAAATGATTACCAGATGTCTGATGGATATAGAGAGGTTTGGAATATAACTATTAATGAAAAATTAACATGTGATACTAAAGTGAGAAAAAGGCATATATTAAAAAAACAAGTTTAATGATATCTGGGGTGTATTGATTATGTCTTAAAAATGGGGAAAGGAATTGAGCTGTCAAAAGAATCACTACAGTTTTGGAAGAGGGGGAAATGTCCTGAAATCCCTGAATAAGTTTTTAAAAAATAGAATCATGGAATAATAGAGTTGGAAGGGGCCAGAGGGCCCCTAATATTGTCGGACACTAAATTACACCATCCCATTGATATGAATGTCCAAATGCTTTTTGAATGTTTCTAGCAGGGGAGAGCCCACAACTTTCCCAGGTAATAGGTTCCATTGCCATACTGCT